CAAGTCATGCTCCGCACAGCTGCCCAAATGCACTAAAACTTAAGTGTAACCAATTCCCTTCCCTAAACATTCTAGTGTATGTATCTCTATCTCTAGGAGTCCAGATTGTGAACATGGTATATAAGGTCCTTGCTTATTTAAAACCTCCTCTGCCATCACTCCCTGATGTACATGGGGCTCTAACTGGGTCCAAATACTTATATACTTGAGATCCCTTCTCATTCCATTTATTTCACCCACCATGCCCTTGCACATGCTGTTCCAGGTGTTCGGAATGCCTTTCCCTGCCTTGAGATGGTGGGTTCATATTTCTACACCTAGCACCTTACACATAAGGTCTGCAAGGCCCCACGGGTCTGATACCCGCTGGCCTTTCTTTCCCTCATCCTGCTTTACTCCTCATTCCAAACACATAGACCTCCACTGCCTCCCCAACTCAGATCCCTCTCTCATTATGCTTTTCCATTACCATGGACTTTCCCTTCATAGCACTGAAACCTGGGGCAATTTTACACCCATTTAAGTGACTGTATGATGAATGCCTCTCCCACTAAAATATAAGCTCCACAGAACAGAGGTGGATCTGGCAGTCAACATATATTTGTTAAGTGCATAAAAGCACACAATTCTTATAGACATTAGGGGCTATGTGGTGTAGGAGACAGAATACAGGTATTTTTAAAAAATTAACATGTAATACCTTAATTAATAAATAAATTAAAAATTTTTAAATTGATTTCAGAGAGAGGAAGGGATAGATAGAAACATCAATGATGAAAGAAAATAATTGATCTGCTGCCTCCTGCTTGCCCCCTAATGAGGATCAAGCCCACAACTCAGGAATGTGCCCTGACTGGGAATTGAATCTCAATCTCCTGGTTTATGTGCCGAGGCTCAAGCTCTGAACCACTGGAGCCAAGCAGAACACAGCTTTAAGACCAAACAGGCCTGGGTTTAAATCTTAGTTCTATTATTTACTATATGACGGTGAGAACGTGGCCAAATTTCACTTGAGGTCAAATTCTTCATCCACAAACAAAATGTAACACCTACTTTGTAGGCATGCACATAATGTATGTGCAGTGCTCAGTAGGAGTTCAATGAATGGTAGCAATTACCTTACGAACCCAAGGAGCTTTGCTGATTGAATAGTAATTCATGTAACTTCGTGTTTTGAAAGGTACTTTTTTTTTTTTTTTTTTTTTTTACTATTATGACATTTAACTTTGTCATTCAGAAATTATTTTGGCTGTGTAGTTTTATATTTTATTTTTAATATATATTTTATTGATTTTTTAGAGAGGAAGGGAGAGAGAGGGAGCCAGAAACATCGATGAGAGAAAAACATCGATCAGCCGCCTCCTGCACACCCCCACCGGGAATGCTCCCGCAACCAAGGTACATGCCCTTGACCGGAATCAAACCTGGGACCCCTCATTCCGCAGGCTGACGCTCTATCCACTGAGCCAAACCAGTTTCGGTTGTAGTTTCATATTTTAAAAATCTGTTGGGTTCAATTCCCAGTCAGGGCACAAACCTGGCTTTTGGGCTCAGTCCTGGTTGGGATACATGCAGGAGACAACCAATCAGTGTTTCTCTCTAACACTGATGTTTCTCTCTCTCTCAACCCCCCTCCCCCAAAAAAAAACACACAAAAAAAAACACAGCACAGTAAAAAGATATCATGAAATGTTTAAACAGAGAGTCTGTTAATTTCCTTTCGTTACAGACCTGCTTTAATCAAAAGGCAAGTCGGTGAAATGGAAAGTGCTGTGGGTAGGTCTATAGTCTGAAGATGCAGGTTCTGGTCCTGTTCTCGCTCAAATCCCTCACATGAAAGGCCAGAGTAATCATGAAATACCATGGCTTCTTATTTCTTTTTTTTTTTTTTTTTTAAATATATTTTATTGATTTTGTACAGAGAGGAAGGGAGATAGAGAGTTAGAAACATTGATGAGAGAGAGTCATCAATCAGCTGCCTCTTGCACACCCCCTACTGGGGATGTGCCCGCAACCAAGGTACATGCCCTGGACCGGAATCGAACCGGGACCTTTCAGTCCCCAAGCTGACGCTCTATCCATTGAGCCAAACCGGTCTCGGCCATGGCTTCTTATTTCATGTAAAAATGCTAAATAAGCCCTGATTGGTTTGGCTCAGTGGATATAGCGTTGGCCTGCAAACTCAAGGGTCCTGGGTTCGATTCCGGTCAAGGGCATGTACCTTGGTTGCGGGCACATACCCAGTGCGGAGTGTGCAGGAGGCAGCTCATCGATGTTTCTGGCTCTCTATCCCTCTCCCTTTTCTCTATAAAAAAATCAATAAAATACATATTTTTAAAAAAATGCTAGATCAACGGGAGATCTTCATAGGATCACTTCCTTCTGGAATGCCATAAACTCCTCAAGGGCAAGGATGCTGCCATTTATCTCTACATCCCTCATTATCTACCACCGCGGTTTGAGGTCAGGAAACTCAATAAAAGTGTGCTGAAGGAAGGGAAGGTGGACTGAGTGAATGAAATAACGTCTTTTATTTCTTTGTTCCAGCTCCAGCTCTCCCTTTGAGTTGGGGGGTGGCTGGGGAAGGGTAACTGTCACTCAAGCCTGGCCTTAGGAAGGAAATTGAAGATGCTGCATTTTCATGGGAGATTTGTTCTCGGTTTCCTGGGTGGAGTATAGGAGCCTATCTTATTCTTTTTTGTTTTCACTGCTCAGCTCTGAGGCTTGGCACCCGCTCTAAAGATGTCCTAGAGGAGGTAAGGTAGGAGGGGAGAGCTGAAGGAACAGTTCCCGGGCTTCGATAGGGCCAGGCAGGGCAGGAGAGCACAACCTTCCCATTCCCAGATGGCTTGGAGACAAAAGTGGACTATCCTGGTTTTGAAAGAAAACATTTTTCTTAAAAGTACCTAAAGGGCAACTTCTCAAGGATACAATAAGGATCATTGTCACATTGTAAAGAACCTGGGAAATCTGTATTGTATATCATTCAAATAAGAAAAAAAAAATGAAATCCTGTCAAACCTGGATCCATTCTATGCATCCAGTAAAATTTTCTTTCCTTCTCCTTACTCTTTTCTTCTTTCCTTACATTTCTTTTTGTTGTTGTTTCATTTTGTTCTTTTGTTTTTAAAGCAACCATTTTCTAGATTGGAGCAAGAAATAGCTCCCCTGGCTGGGAGGATTTGGCCCATACTGAGAAGCAAAGGGGTTTTCTCAACTCAATTTTCTTTCTTCTTTTTAAACGACCCCCCTTCCCTCAGGAGAGACAATAGAAATAATTGATCCATCATCCAGTACCAGGCCCAGGAGATTTACATGCAAATCCTCCCTCTCCTCCTCAGACCCCCTCTCTCCCCACTTAAATTTAAAATCGCAGAAGGGGGAAAAAAGAAAACCCTTTTAAACTAGCAGGAACCTTGCTGGTCCACCGTCACCCACCCCATACCAGGTGAGAGTTAGGAGGGGGTGATAATCCACAACAACCCCAGCCTCCTCCCTCCCCACTCACACCATCCCTTTCTGGTGTGGAATCACTTAAGATTTGGGTAAAATTCTCTTCCCAGGAGACGATATCTGGAAGCTTTTAGTGGGCGGAGGCAGAGCGGGGAGAGAGGAGTAAAATTCCCCCAAACGGCCTAAGAAAGTCATCTCTTCACTTAAAACTGCCCGTCACCCCCCACCCCCCACCATTAACTTTCGATTAAGACCTCCTCGTTATGGCAACTAAACTTTACTTTGCATAATTAAGATTTGCCTCGGAAGAAGGGGGAGGGAGAAGCCGCAGCTCCCGGCCTTTCTCTTTCACCTCACCTCCTCCCACCCCCGCCCGAACCCTCCAGCTCTGGGCCTCTAAGTTCCTGAGTTTTCTCACTTTGAGGTGCCACCGAACACAAAGAACCATAATGGGCTTCTTTGTGCTCGCTACGGGGCAATTACGCCCCGGAGTCCAGGCCCCTTTAAGAGCCTCTTAAAGAGACAGGCTCTCGTTTTTTCAGAGGGTTATTTAAGGGTGTGTGTGTAGGGGAGGGGCGAGGAAAACTCCTAGGGGTCTACTTATTGGGTGAAGTGAAACTTTTGTCTGGACTCCATGAGAAGGGGCTGAGAGTAAAGTCTTTATTAACTGTTAGCTTTTTTTTTTTTTTTTTAAGTCTCTCTTTTGAAACAAATCTTTAACTTGAAATTTTTTCACTTGATCTGTAAAATTGGACTGGAATAGGTGGGGTTGAGAAGCAGGGGCGGAGGCAAGGATTTAAAGAGGCCCCTACCCTGGAGAGCGCCGTGGCCCCCGGAGGAAAAAGTGATCCGAGCGAGAGTGGCTTGGGTCCACGGCTGTGCTGGGGAATGCGTGTCCACGGACCTCGCCTCCGCGACTCGGGATAGAACCCCTTGCTGGGCAAACAGCCCTTAATATAATAATAGCGTGTCTCTTTAAAAAGCAAAAGGAGGGGGGGGAAAGTTTTGTTGGCATCTGGTTTCTGATCTCATTATGTTGTGGTCGACCAATCCAGCCCTCGGGGCTGGTCCTCGGGTTTAAATCTGATTGGCCCAGAGCACATTTTGGGATGGTGCTTAGAGCTCGACGGGGCGGTTTCAAGGTTCCCTTTTTTGGGGGGCTGAGGAGAGGGCGGGGCCGCCGGCCGGGGACCCCTTGAAACCGACTAATTAGGATCGGAGAGGCCGAGGTGAGGGCCGGAGGAAGGCACAAAGGAGTCGCTGGGCGGAGAAGGGAGGGGAGAGGCGAGAGGAGGAGGAAGGCGAGGAGAGAGCACAGCAGCGCGCGGTGCTTCCAGCTGCTCAGTTAGACCGAGGCGAGCTAGCGGGCAGGCGCGCCGCCCCCTCCCCCGCCCGGCCTCCCCGACTCCGAGGCCCCGAGCAAAGTTTGCAGAGAGGCGCGGGAGGCGGCGGCTGGGGCGAGGCGGCGGCGGGGAAGGCGCGCGGTCTCCGGGCTAGGGGCGGGGGCGGGGGGCCGCCCCGGAGCCGGGTGGGGGGCGGCGGCCAGCATGCGGCCCCGCAGCGCCCTGCCCCGCCTGCTGCTGCCGCTGCTGCTGCTGCCCGCCGCGGGGCCAGCCCAGTTCCACGGAGAGAAGGGCATCTCCATCCCGGACCACGGCTTCTGCCAGCCCATCTCCATCCCGCTGTGCACGGACATCGCCTACAACCAGACCATCATGCCCAACCTTCTGGGCCACACGAACCAGGAGGACGCGGGGCTGGAGGTGCACCAGTTCTACCCGCTGGTGAAGGTGCAGTGCTCGCCCGAACTGCGCTTCTTCCTGTGCTCCATGTACGCGCCCGTGTGCACCGTGCTGGAGCAGGCCATCCCGCCGTGCCGCTCCATTTGCGAGCGCGCGCGCCAGGGCTGCGAGGCGCTCATGAACAAGTTCGGCTTCCAGTGGCCCGAGCGCCTGCGCTGCGAGCACTTCCCGCGCCACGGCGCCGAGCAGATCTGCGTGGGCCAGAACCACTCGGAAGACGGCGCGCCCGCGCTGCTCACCACGGCGCCGCCGCCGGGCCTGCAGCCGGGGGCCGGGGGCACCCCCGGCGGCCCGGGCGGCGGCGGCTCGCCCCCGCGCTACGCCACGCTGGAACACCCGTTCCACTGCCCGCGTGTCCTCAAGGTGCCGTCCTATCTCAGCTACAAGTTCCTGGGCGAGCGCGACTGCGCGGCGCCCTGCGAGCCGGCCAGACCCGACGGCTCCATGTTCTTCTCGCAGGAGGAGACGCGTTTCGCGCGCCTCTGGATCCTCACCTGGTCCGTGCTGTGCTGCGCCTCCACCTTCTTCACCGTCACCACGTACCTGGTGGACATGCAGCGCTTCCGCTACCCCGAGCGGCCCATCATCTTCCTGTCCGGCTGCTACACCATGGTGTCGGTGGCCTACATCGCCGGTTTCGTGCTCCAGGAGCGCGTGGTGTGCAACGAGCGCTTCTCCGAGGACGGCTACCGCACGGTGGTGCAGGGCACCAAGAAGGAGGGCTGCACCATCCTCTTCATGATGCTCTACTTCTTCAGCATGGCCAGCTCCATCTGGTGGGTCATCCTGTCGCTCACCTGGTTCCTGGCGGCGGGCATGAAGTGGGGCCACGAGGCCATCGAGGCCAACTCGCAGTACTTCCACCTGGCCGCCTGGGCCGTGCCGGCGGTCAAGACCATCACCATCCTGGCCATGGGCCAGATTGACGGCGACCTGCTGAGCGGCGTGTGCTTCGTGGGCCTCAATAGCCTGGACCCGCTGCGGGGCTTCGTGCTGGCGCCGCTCTTCGTGTACCTGTTCATCGGCACGTCCTTCCTGCTGGCCGGCTTCGTGTCGCTCTTCCGCATCCGCACCATCATGAAGCACGACGGCACCAAGACGGAGAAGCTGGAGCGGCTCATGGTGCGCATCGGCGTCTTCTCGGTGCTCTACACGGTGCCCGCCACCATCGTCATCGCCTGCTACTTCTACGAGCAGGCCTTCCGCGAGCACTGGGAGCGCTCCTGGGTGAGCCAGCACTGCAAGAGCCTGGCCATCCCGTGCCCAGCGCACTACACGCCGCGCATGTCGCCCGACTTCACCGTCTACATGATCAAATACCTCATGACGCTCATCGTGGGCATCACGTCGGGCTTCTGGATCTGGTCCGGCAAGACGCTGCACTCGTGGAGGAAGTTCTATACCCGCCTCACCAACAGCCGGCACGGCGAGACCACCGTGTGAGGGGGGTGTCCCAGGGGCCGGGGCCGCGCCGCGCTTCCCTCCTCTCCGGGATGGGGGCTCCTACAGACTCCTTATTTTATTTTTTTAAATAAAGTACAATCGAAACCATTTATTTTTTAGGTCGCTTTTTAAAGATCATTCTGCCCACCACCCCACCCCCACCAGGTTTGTAATTAAAATTGTAAATAGCCTTTGTAAATTTAATTATATATTTTCTATTTAAAAGAAAGAAAAGAGAGGGGGAAAAGAAAAAGAAAAAAAAAAAAGGAACAGCAATGGGCGCCAGGGCTGAGGACTGAGGGGAAAGGGAGTTCTCGCCTTTCAAACACTACGCCGCACTTTGGTTCCGAGTTTTTGGTGATTTGGCAGGGCTGAGCCTGCCGGAAGAGGTGTTGGCTAGTTTCTTTCATTCAGCTTCTAAAGCCAAATTGGTGGGCCTTCTCACTGAAGCTGGGTCTGGGGAAGCTGGTGGATTTTTTTTATATATATATATTTTTAACAAGGCTTGGATTCTTCTTGTTTTATTTCCCTTCCCCCCTTTCTCTCCTCACTTGTCCTGTTTCCTTCACTAGATCTTTGGAGCGGGTGGGGTGGTGGGGAGGGGCGGAGAGCCTGTGCGGAATGGCCTCCACCCCGCCGGCCCACTCTCCTGCAGGCGGGAAGATCTTTCTCCTCCTCAACTTTTCTTCTTTTCAATTTGATGCTCCAAGTCCTTGGAGTGAGCCAAAAGTGCTTTGTGAAGTGTGTTTTGAAATAAAAACACCCCCCACACACACACACACACTACCTTGAGTACCCATCCTGAACCTTTACATTTTTAGGGGGGGCGTTAGCTCGCAAACGTTAAGGTTTGGTGATGTCCTTGCATCTCTCCCCTAATCCCCCCCTCCGCCCCCCGCAGACTGTGCCTCAACCCCACTCCCTCAACCAAATATCTTCCCTAGCTTCAAGTTTATGGGGTGGTTTGTGTGTTATGTGTGGGTTTTTGTTGTTTAGGGTTATTTTTTTTCTAAAAGCAATAAAAAATGGGTTGGGTTGGAGGGAGGGGACAGATGGGCTGAGATGGGCTGGTGGGATTTTTAGTTTTCTTTTGACAAAAGACTGGTTTCTTTTCAAACTTGTCCAGAAAGGGGGGGAGGGAGGTGGGTATCTTTGCTTTGGAAGGAGGCTCTGGGCAGGCTCTTTGTGACTGTGGGGGTGGGGTTGAGTGTTTACATGACATTCTATATCGCAAGATTGATAGAATGTTTATAACAGATGTTTCTTATCTTCCCCCTACCTCCCTCAAATAAAAGTCAAGACTTTTTCTTAAAAGTATCTTTGACACTGGTATGAGAATTGCAGTTTCCAATACACATCCTCTCCCTCAACTATTTGGAATATTTTAGAACTTTAATTCTAAAGGATTGATTTGAGAACCAAGTGGGGTGGGTGGGCCAAGTATGCCACAGAACTCAATTTTTCACCATCTTCTGTTTCTTGGTAATAGTGCAAATTAAAAGCTAATAATCATAATAATAAAGTGCATTTAATTATCTTCTAGAGATCTAGCCCTTTAATTGTATTTAACAGGGTTGTAACATTTTATTAGTTTAACCAAACCACACCTCCCCCTCCCCTCTACCCACAACTGCTCTGTTGGGGATGGGGGAGAGAAGAGGCCCCCTGCTTGGGGTTTTGCTTTTTTCGCTAGATGCTGAGGGGGAAAATGGTGCCCGACTACCCTTTGTTGAATGTTTGGGACAAGGGAGAAAGTAAGTTGGAACCCCTACTTCCAAGTGTTAGTTTATGTTGGGGGAGGGGATCTGGAAATGTTTGGTGGTAATTGAAGTCGTATGTGGGGCTTTGTTTGGAATTGTATGAAGTCTGAGGATTTCAGCTGAGCCCCTTTCCCAAAATACAGAACCTTCTCTCAAACCATTTGTGCCGATGACCAGAATCCTACATTAAAACTAGCTTTTCCCCTAAAGGCGTATGCGAAGTTCCAACGTAAGACTCCCTCAGCTATCAAAGAAATAAGCGGGTAGGGTGTCACCAGGCTGCAGCTCCATTTGTTGCAGGATTTCTAAAGAAACCCCACAAGGCCTGCAGGAAAGAGTTAAATTACAAACAAATTGTTAGTGCCCCTCCTGGAAAGAATGGTGAAAGCCTGAGAAGGGGTGTGTGTGTGGCGGGGGGGGGGGGGGGGGGGGGGGGGGGGGGGGGGGGAATAGATTTTGCAGTGACTGGATGGAACCCAGTGGGAAGAGGAGCGCTGAAGATTTGGGGAGGGGGAAGAGGGGAGGGAGGCTCTCCCACTTCTAAGGCCTCAGCATCCCAGCTCTGTGTGCTGTGGGCATTTGTCAGTGGACACCCTCGCTATCAGCAGAAGGAGATGGCAGATGAGCCACACTGACCTCTTCCTTCCCTGAGTAGGGGTGAGAGGCAGAGAGTTTTGGTAAAGATTATTCTTCTCAACCCCAGAAGGAAAACATTTCACCTGAGGCCCCGGGCCTGGGACAGATCTCAGACCACAGCTGCTTTCTACCTGCCCTCCCCTCCCCTCCCACAAAGCAGCAAAGCTGCTCGTCTGCAAGATTCAGGGCATCTGTCTCCGGACTCCGCCTTCATTCGTCAGACTTGGGCTTTTCTTCCCCTTCCCCAAACTCCCCTCCTGAAAAAATAGCTCCTTAGCTACAAACTTTTTGTCCTTTAAGAGCCAGCAACAGGAAAGGACAGGAAAGTTGTCCAAAACAAAATTCTTTTGAACATCCCCAAAGAAGGAGGACCAGTAGAATCTGGAGCTGCTGCCTTCTGGGTTATTTCTAAAGCCCCTCCAAGAGTGTGTTGGGGACCTCAGACCTGGGATGGATTCTAGAAGTGGGGAGATGCTGTCCCGGGGTGCAGGAGGCACATGTCTGGCAAGGGGAGCCCAGTCCCAGCTCCTGCCACTTCCTAGGCACTGTCCTTTGGTAATTTCACTGCTCACTGGAATAGGGCCCTTCCTCTTCGAGACCCACCCTCCTCTCCTCTAAATGGGTATTGAACTGGGGTCCACTAACCCCTCTGAGAACCTGAAAAATCTTTGGGCCTCTGGGGATAAAATGGTCAGATCCCCCCAAGAACACACAAGTTTGCATTTAACTTTAGAGAGTTTATGGACCTTCTAGCTGTAAACCTCCCTTCCCTCCCCCCCCCCCATACCCTGCCCCAAAGGTAGTTTTCCAAATTTTCTGATTCCTAGTTTAGACATTTCCTAGTTCTGATTACTGGGTATCTCCAGTTCTCCAAGGGGCAGCTTTTATCTTCTCAGGCTCGTGTCCCCACTCTCTAATCACCTCTGCTGGGGAAAGGGTATATAGCAGGGGAAGCCATCCGGCCTACAAAACCAGGAACACCGCAAACCAGATTATTCATCGATCCCGTTTCTCTCACCGGGAACAAGTTATCTAGATGCAGCAGTGGAATGAGTGTGTAATATGTGTAGCGAGAGAAAAGAAATAGGAGAAAGACCAGCCATGTGTAGAGTACAGGCTTTGACATGAGAAAGTGCCTAGCTCTGAGTCCCAGCCCTCATCTGGAAAAAGCCCAGAGTGACTGTCCCAGCAAGGTTGTTGCAAAGATTAGATCAGATGGTACACCTACAGAAGCCAGTACATAGTAGAAGCTCAACAAACTCTAGCACTCTTCCAATCTAGGATAAACTCCTAAAAATACAGGAGAATCCCTGGATCAAAGGATGTGCATTCTTTGAGGACTTTTTAACCTATTTTGTTCCTGGCAGTTTTAATAGACTAGAATGATTTTCTGCGCTTCCAGTTTTTCTACTTGACTCAGGGTGCCAGCTCACAGTCTGGAGGCTCCTTGGGGTGGTAGTGGGCAGCGTTTCTCTCCCCCTCTCTCCTGATTAGGACAGAAATGTCTTACCCGCCTGAGTAAGCAGGGCACGAAGGTGGGCGGGCTCTCTCTCCAGCTGGCTTTGAAGCTGGCTAATTAGGGCTAGGGCTGTCACAGCTGGCTTCCCCGGTGCCTCCCCCTCCCCCTGCTCTGCCCCATCCCCAGACTCACAGCCCGAGTGCCCCTCCCTGAGCTGCCTTGCCTTCCAATGCAGACGTGCTGCGCTTCCAGGTTCTACGGGAAAGGCCAGGATTGGAGGCCGGGAGAAAGGACAAGATGGGACTTGGGACATGGAACAAGCTCAGAAACCATTGACTGGGTTCAGAGAGGGCCGCCTATGGCCCCAGGCCCCCTCCTTATTCTAATGAAGCCTGGAGAGGAGCCGGCCTGGGCTGGGGGCTGAGCCCTGGGTCCTTTGTTTGAAAGCCAAGCTTTCTGAAGGCTCCAGCCTCCCAACCTGGCCCTTGTAATTAGCCCCAATCAGAATGTTTATGTCGGGCCTCGTGCGGAACTCAGAGCCCCGTGATTTCATTCCAAACCTGGGGGAAGAAGGGAGGGGAAGGGATTTGTGCGGGGACTTACAAAAAGGAGGATGGGGATGAGAAAAACCTGGGGTGAGGGGAGAAGCAGAGGTCCTGGTGAGGCTAGGGACAGGACAGCCACTCCCATTTGACCATCGCAGGGGTCAGTACCCCTTCCAGAGTAGCTGGTGCCCTGGCATGCTGACCCTGGCCTGGGCTGCATGCCTTCTGGACAGGCTCTGTGGGTGGGTGGGCTTGTGCCAATCGGAAATGGCTTGGATGTAATTAACCCAGCTAATCACCAGCCTCAGCCTGGTGGAAGGGAGGGTAGAGCCCAGAGCCACAGTTCCCCCAGGAAGCTCCCCTGTCCCTATTCTTTTTCCGATGACTGGGGCCTAGGATGTGCCAGGCTCTGAAGCTGATTAAGATGGTGGAGTCAGAGGGTGGGCAGGGAAGTAAAGATGCTTAATTCTCATCGCTGGCCTTACTCTCAGGAGAAATGTGAGAGGAGGAGTGGGCCTGAAGTGGCCATGCTGGGATGGGGGTGGGAGGTGATAATAGGAATTGTGGGGGCAGGAGGGCGAGAGGATTCTCAGCCACTGC